GTCAGAAAGGTTATTCACTTCCCTGTGGAACCATTTCACAGTGCCGCTGTGCATCAAATCATGTTGTGTACTTTAAATATATATTACTAACTTGGCCAAAAAGAAACATGAAAGAAAACATGAAGAGATATATTCAATGAATCTGATGTGGGAAAGTGTTTTATTAATTACAAATGAATACATATATACTTATATGTAATTATATAGATAATAATTATAAGATAATAAAAGTAAATTAATTATAAGATAATAAAAGTAAAGATTTGATAACAATATCTATGGTGCTAGAGGAAATGGGCACGCACACTGTCTAGGTCATACATGTTTAACATATTACAAATAATCACATATTATCCTGGATTCCCATTTCAAATATTCTAAAGATTAAATATTATTAATTATTCCAAATAGCAAATTAAGTATGAAAGTACACATAAAGAATGTTCACTACTTATAACTCTGGCTTTTGTAACAAAAATATAACTATAATCTTAGTATGTACCAATATGGAAATGGTAAAATACATGCCATTCAGTCATGAAGATGAACAATAAAATATGGTGACATGTGGAAGATAAAGGCATATGCCCAAGATACATTGTCAATGAAATAGAAAGTTACAGAATAATAGTTATTCAATTTTTAAGTGCTTTTTTGAATGAATTTCTAGGAAAATACATACAAAGCAACTGGCATCAATTAGAAGCTCTTCTAAGAGATGAAAGTGTCACTCTTTGAAGTACTGGTTTGCTGGCACGTATTACCACAAGCATGCGTTGTTTTTCTGATTTAAAAGATGCGAGGGTATGGTGCTACCAGCAGGTCAATCTGTACCTGTGAGGCGAGTGAATCAGCAGCCTGATGGCGCCTTCAGACTTCCGGATACCTCAAAACGGCTGCTGTGCCTTTGGCCAGACCTCAGAAACTTGGGGCAAAGTTAACCAAGAAAGTAAATGGCCAAAAGTTAGGTATCACTAATAAAAATTAAAAAAAAAAATTAAGGTATGTGGGAGACACACCCACAAACCACCTCCAGCTCAGCTATATAATTGGAGGCATGGCCTCTCTGGTTCCTTATCGAACTGCTTAATGGCCATGATCCCAGAGACTCAGAAACAAATCTCGAAACCCAACAGCTTTTGGCAGAAATGAGTCTGGTCCCTGCAGTAGGTTACCAGCGCCGGGCCATCCCAGGTCGGAACAGGTTTTGTGCCTTGGCCTGCTCCCCCTGGCGGCCCAGTGGCCATCATCCTCCAGGGGCTACTGGACAGTTAGGTTTGGGCCCACAGTGATGAGACGCGTGGGGCCTCACAGGATGGGGGTGGAGCCGGCCCTTTCCTCCTCCTCCCAAAAAACCCCGAGTCGCCGCCCACAAACGGCCTCTCTGGCTCCTGATCAAGTTGCTTAATGGCCATGATCCCAGAGACTCAGAAACAAATCTCAAAACCCAGTGGCTTTTGGCAGAAATGTGTCCAGACCGCACAGTAGATTACTGTCATCAGGCCAACCCAGGGGGGAAAAGGTGCTGTCCCTCGCCTGCTCCCCCTAGGCGGCTCAGTGGCCACCATCTTCCAGAGGCCATTGAAAAGTCAGGTTTGTGCCTGCAGTGATGAGACACGTGGGGCCTCATGGGATGGGAGTGGAGCCGGCCCTTTCCTCCCCACCCCAACGAGATCCCAGGTCACCAACCAGGAACAGAATCTCTGGCTCTTTATCAAGCTGCTTAATGGTCATGATCCCAGAGACTTAGAAACAAATCTTGGAACCCAACGACTTTTGACAGAAATGCGTCCTGTTCCTGCAGCAGGTTACCAGTGTTGGGCCACCCCAGGTGGGAATAGGTTTCGTGCTTTGGCCTGTTCCCCCTGGCAGCCTGGTGACTGCCATTCTCCAGAGACCACTGGACAGTCAGGTTTAGGCCTGTAGTGACGAGACATGCAGGGCCTCACAGGATGGGGGTGGAGCCAGCTCTTTCCTCCCCACCCCAACGAGATCCCATGTCACTGCCAATGAATGGCCTTTCTGGCTCCTGATCAAGCTGCTTAATGGTCATGATCCCAGAGACTCAGAAACAAATCTCAAAACCCAGCGGCTTTAGGAAGAAATGCGTCCGGACCGCACATTAGGTTACTGTCATCAGACCACCCCAGGGGAGAAAGGGTGCTGTCCCTCCACCTGCTCCCCCTTGGCGGCTTGGTGTTCACCATCTGCCAGAGGCCATTGGAAAGTCAGGTTTAGGCCTGTAATGACGAGACATGCGGGGCCTCATGGGATGGGGGTGGAGTCGGCCCTTTCCTCCCTACCCCAATGAAACCCCGAGTCACTGCCCACGAACAGCCTCTCTGGCTCCTGATCAAGCCATTTAAGGCCATGATCGCAGAGACTCAGAAACAAATATTGGAACCCAAAGGCTTTTGGCAGAAATGCGTCCAGTCCCTGCAGTAGGTTACCAGTGCTGGGCCAACCCAGGTGGAAATAGGTTTCATGCCTCGGCCTATTCCCCCTGGCGCCTGGTGGCCACCATCCTCCAGAGGCCACTGAACAATCAGGTTTTGGCCCGCAGTGATGAGACATGTGGGGCCTCACGGGATGGGGTGGAGCTGGCCCTTTCCTCCCCATCCCAATGAGACCCCGAGTCACCACCCACAAACGACCTCTCTGGTTCCTGATAAAGCTGCTTAACAGCCATAATCCCAGATACTCAGAGACAAATCTCGGAACCCAGTGACTTTTGGTAGAAATGCGTCCAGACCCTGCAATAGGTTACTGTCGCTGGGCCAATCCAGGGGGGAAAGGGTGTTGTCCCTCCACCTGCTCCCCCTAGGCAGCTCAGTGGCCGCCATCCTTCAGAGGCCATTGGACAGTCAGGTTTGAGCCCTCAGTGATGAGACATGAGGGCCTCACTGGATGGGGTGGAGCTGGCCCTTTCCACCCTGTCTCAACGAGAACCCAAGTCGCCGCCCACGAATGGTCTTTCTGGCTCCTAATCAAGATGCTTAACGGCCATGATCCCAGAGACTCAGGAACAAACCTCAGAACCCAGCAGGTTTTGCAGGAAATCCCTCTAGTTTAATTGTTAAAATTTTGGAATTTCAAAATTACACAGCCACTACTGCAGTCACGTGACATCACATGTTATTCATAACCAGCAATAGAAAACAAATTGTCTACTGTTGCCTTTTCAACAGATCTGAGTGTTGAGGTAAAATCCCAAAAAAAAAAAATGGTGGGTCTGGTGTCAAATTATTGAATGTAATCAAAGTAGAGACAGAGTAAAGTGGAAATCATATGCCCCACAGGTAGGGGGAGGGTGTGGAATGGGGGTATACTGGGGTGTTTGGTGGTGGAGAATGGGCACTGGTGAAGGTACGGGTGTTTCATTGTATGACCGAGACTTAAACCGGAAAGTTTTGTAACTGTTCTCATGGTGATTCAATAAATAAAATTATAAAAAATGAAAAAAATTTAAAAAAAATAAAGGATGCTCTTCCCATCCATGTACACACATACTCAGACATACAGGGTTGTCACTTTCAGGTATGCTATCAGTAAGAATCTTATTTTAAGTTAAGAATCATCCCCACATTTCCACCTTCAGTCCAACCTCCTCTGTGTTACATCCTTTAATTAATCTGAAGACAGCTGCCATGGATCCCTCTCCTCTACTATACAATTACCTATCACAGGCCCTTCAAGCACTCCCTATGTCAACAGACTCCAGGGAGCTAGTTATGTATTCATTAGAATGACAAGACATATTTCCTGGATTCCATTTGACCAGAGGAAAGCATAGTCACTGTCACTGTCCTCCTGTTGTTCATCGATTTCTCGAGCGGGCCCAGTAACGTCTCCATTTTGAGACTTGTTGTTACTGTGTTTGGCATATTGAATACATCACGGGTAGCTTGCCAGGCTTTGCCGGGCAGGCGAGATACTCTCGGTAGCTTGCTGGGCTCTCCGAGAGGGGTGGAGGAAATCAAACCTGGCTCGGCCAGGCTGACTGCGCACAAGGCAAATGCCCTACCGCTGTGCTATTGCTCCAGCCCAGGAAGCATAGTACATCCAACAAACTCCTTAGTTTGGAATAACTTTCAACAAATGTACTAGAATATTCTGGCTTTTCCGGCAATAACAGAGTTTACTGAAAACATAAGGGGAAGGGGCTCACGAAAACTTTTCAATAAATCTTAAAAATCCCCCTCCCCTAGAAAATTAATTTTAGGACAACATATTTTCTGGTAGCACTGTCCTTCCGTTTTTCACTGATTTGCTTGAGCGGGTGCAGTAACATTGTGAGACTTGTTGTTACTGTGTCTGGCATATCAAATACGTCACGGGTAGCTTTGCAGGTTTTGCCTTGCAGGCGAGATACTCTTGGTAGCTTGCTGGGCTCTCCGAGAGAGGCGAAGAAATCTAACCCGGGTTGGCCACACAGGCTGCATGCAAGGCAAATGCCCTACCACTCTGCTATCGCTTCAGCCCATATTTTCTGGTATGTCTACAAATTTAAAGGGTGATATAAGACTTTTTCCTCAAAGGAGCTTTCTTTATGCCCCGTAGCAATGTGATTTATTTTGAGTTATATGCTATGTTTTGCACACAAATTGGTGTCTTAATTCTAGTCGTCTAAACCCATAAAAATGTGATACAAAAGTTTAGACAATAGTGCAGAAAAACTATTCAATCTGAGAAAAATAAGCAATTATGCTTTCTCTAAAAATTAAAGATTCAAAATAAAACTTTACCTTTTTTCTGTTTACTGACTTTAAATTTTACGGCCATACTAAAACTAAAATAAATTTAAGCTTAAATATAAATAAGTCCAAATATAAAAGTGACATAAAAATAATATTGTCTCTTACTAATAAAGAATTTAAGTTTGGTTCATATTATCTTTTTTAATCTAGTCAACACTCTAGTTCAATGTATTCATCTACACAATTGATAGTTCAGTAATTTATTTAATAACTGAACACATTATTTTTAAAAACAACTATTACCTTAAATAAGTGTTTGCCGATAAAACACATAAAACATCACGTAAAGTCTGTAAAAAAAAAAAGTCAAATCAATGACGATTTTCTAGGGAATTATACAGCATTTAAAATGTCCTAATTCAGTATCATAGGCATCCCCATTAAAAAGAATATTCTTTTGTTGTTGTTCAAGTGATGCCTTGGGAGCTGAAAAGACAGTTCAACAGATGAGCCCATGCTTTGTATGCAGCAGGCCTGAGTTCATTCCCCAGGACCTATGTCCCATGGGTACTGCCAGGAGCAATCCTCCATCACTGAGTCAGGAGTAGCACTTGAGCACTGCTGATTTAGCCCTCCAAATAAAACAAAATGACTGCTTAGGAACAAGTCAGCCCCAACTTGAGCAAAGACAGATGATTTAAGTTATAACTTTCTCTTTTTAAGAATTTAATTTTATAAGACCTCGACTTTTACTTAAAAAAAAAATGAATAGCAGAGCTACTGTCACTTTCTACTGTACTCACTGTATCCCCACTTAGTACTTAATTCCTGCATTAGCCCTTTCAAGAACAGTCCTTAAAGAATATTAGAATTTTCCATGACTGAATAAGAACAGATTCCTGGAGAAAATGTGTAAGCTGAGCTAGGCAGGACTAGAGGATGATGAGAAGCAAACAGTGTGGTATTGACCAATTCCCTAGGTAGATATAACTAGGACTTGACTCCTTCCAAGTCTCCCTCAGAAAGTAAATCAGGGCAAAAAATTGAATGTCCTTCTCATAAATTATTCATCTTCTATATGAAAACAAAGATATAAGAAATTTATCCACTACTTCAGAGAGAAGATACACAATTGGACTTTAAAGATAAAAACTGGTTTCACCAGGCCCAGACAGTCATACAGTGATGAAGAAATCCCGTTATTGTCATCTGCTCAGAAATACATACTAGCAAAACCTGTGAACAATATAAAGGATGGTTCCAAATTGGTATAAGCTAGGTCCCTACTTCTTTAACCAGGCATTTAAATAAATCCCTTGAAGAAAAAGAACATTTTTTAGCATATCATAGGATTTATATCTTTTATGGTATGATCTTCTTTCCTTGTTTGTTTCCAAGCAGAGAATCACTTTTAAATGACTCTACGAATTTTGTGCATGCCTATTCAAAACTGTTATGGAATTCTTTGCATGTACATTACATTACAAAGATAGTAAAATTTCAATTGTACTTTTCTTATATACCACTTCTAACAATTTAAAGTTTTTCTACATCTGTGATTATTTAATATACTCTCACCCAAGTGAACTTAAGAGAGAACCTGTCTTATCTGTCTCAGTATATACATATGGTAACAAGGTTCTTGGTGCATATTAAGAAACCAATCAATTTCTTTTGAAAGAATAAAATTATCTTTTCTAATGCAACTCTCTAAAACACTCATGATACTAAAGATCTGAATTAAAAACTAAGGCTAAGGAGAGAACGCGTTTATAGTAAAAATAAGTAGAAGGGAATGGAGAACATCCAAGGATAACAAGCCCTTGAGCTTTGACTATAAGAACTGAATCTCCGGCAGTGGGGCAGAAGTCACAGCGTAGGAAGGGAAAGGCGGGCTATCAGTGGCACAAGAATTGTGGTGGAGGGGCTTGGACACTTTGGTGGTGGTGGAGGTACATCAAAAACATAAATATTCACACAATTGTAATCATGCTACCTCACCTACAAAAAAGATAAAAAATAAGGTGGAATTTTGCGCTTTAATAATAATTTATTGTCTTCACCTTTAAAAGCAAAAGAAAAAATTTTAAAGTACCTTTTTAAAGATAAAACAAGCAATCATGATAACAACTGGAAGCAACAATGTCTTTGTGTATCTCAGTGGAGTCTGGAATACAGAAAATTATTCATAATACTCATTTATTATATTTTATATTACATTTCAAATTAATTTAACATGAAATTTCTCTAAAAGACCTCTTATTTTCAGAATATGTATCAATATTCAAGTTTTGATAGGTGCTTCATAGTTATGAAAAAATACTTTAATGATTTAATAAATAATATACTTATATACTTTCAATATTAATTTAAAATGTGTTTACTGGTCCCTACATACTACCATTTTTTTTTAATTTTTTTTTTTTGCTTTTTGGGTCATATCTGGCAATGCACAGGGGTTACTGCTGGCTCTGCACTCAGGAATTACTCCTGGCGGTGCTCAGGGGACCATATGGGATGCTGGGAATCGAACCTGGGTCGGCCGCGTGCAAGGCAAACGCCCTACCCGCTGTGCTACTGCTCCAGCCCCCAGACTACCATTTTTATTTCCTAGGCTAAAAAGTTCCTTCATTCTCACTCGTAAAACTAGCACAAATAAAGAAGCTAGGTCTAAGTACATATTCAAATAATACCACGTAAAGAGTTATCATGACCTATTATAATAATAGGGAACAATTTTCTATGAGATTAAATTATTCATTTTTTGAGCAGGAATCAAGTCAACTTTCTTTGTAGTTCTATAATAAAACTCACAGATAATTATTGATCAGTAACACCTTTTGAATGACTGGTTGATAAAAAAGAGAATAACATGATTTACTAGTACATTTAGCAATATTTTGTTAAAAATTATTCTTAATATTTGAATGCTGAAATGCAACAAGCATAATTTATTAAAAACAAAGATTTATATTTTTAATGCACACATATTATCACATGACCTAAATTGTCAGTAATAATCGAATTCATATATTATAATAGCTTATAATAATAATTGCTTATTATTATACTAAATAAATGTCTTTAATAATATACTAACACTACAATAATATAGTATGTCAAAGCACTACAACTGGGTTATTTTATTTAAACTATTATCTTTGAAAAAGAGGTCACATTTTAAGAGAAAAGGTGGGAATGGCAATATGACTGGCTAACGTTATAGCTTAAAGAGTATAAAGTAAAATGGGTATTTACCGCCTTTTCCATGAAGTCAAATTCAGGAGCACATGTGTATAATAAAGTATCAAAATCTGAATACCTCAAAATTCTGGCTGCTATAAGATCACTCAGGCGAATCTGAAAATACAGGTAAAATAAATTAAAATTACACAAATAATTTTAGATAAAAACAAGTGATTTGTGTAACAGTAGTAAAGAGTAGATAATACCAAATAAGTACATGATACCCCTCAATTACAACACACAATAAATCATACAATATTACATGCAGAGCTATAAAGAAAAATTTTAAAAATGAAAATAAGTTAGAGATACAAAAACTAGGCAGTGAAAACTATAATGGTAAGACTGAGTTAATATCATTTGTCATTCAATTAATTAAGGGGGTTTTATAAATGGCCTATCAAGGGAAAAACAACTTCATGTTAATCCCTTTAATTATATACTGTAAATCATGAACATGTTTTCTATACACTGCCATACTCATACTGATTACAATTTTTGATTCATCTTTAATTTTAGAGCTATATGCAAGCATTAAATGTGAGGGCTATTTTTTGCAAGAATTAGGACAACGAAACACATTACTTAGATTCAGTTATGTGAATTTCAAGACCTTAAAAGTATCACCAACAAGTGTAGAACTCTTATTTTTTACTGATTCTTTCATTTTGTCACCTAAGGGCCACTCACTCCAGAGGTGCTTAGTGGAGGGCTTAGGACCATTCCAGCGATGCTCAGATGCTCACTCAATGCTAGGGGTAGAATCTCAGAACCTAATACATGTAAGACTCAACCACTTGAGCTGTCTCTCTCAACCCTTCTACTACTTATTACTGTTGTTGGTGAGACAATTATTTTCTACTACCTTTTCATAAGGCAAATAAAAGAAAATATTTGAAATATATTTTTTTTTTGCTTTCTGGGTCACACCTGGCATGCACAGGGCTTACTCCTGGCTCTGCACTCAGGAATTACTCCTGGGGGTGCTCAGGGGACCATATGGGATGCTGGGAATTGAACCCGGGTCGGTTGTGTGTAAGGCAAACACCCTACCCGCTGTACTATCGCTCCAGCCCCTGAAATATAAAAATCTTAATTAAAATTATTTCCTAAGTAAAAGAGGACTTATTTTCATAAAATAAAAATCATTTTATTCCAAGTTTCATAATTATTATTGGTTTTCATTTATTTGTAGTCCCTCTGATTTATAAACAGCAAGGATAACTTAGAGTGTCCTTAATATTTCTAATCTCAGATTTTTCTAATTTGACTTAGAATTTTTAGTTTTTATGATTTTTCTAAGAATAATTTTACCAAACCATTTTAGTTTCAAGTCCTTCTCTGTTACAGAGAATAAGTCACTTAAGATTACCAAGAGTATGTGCATGTATTTAATACAGATGTGTATGTATTAAAGATCTAAGAGTTAAGTGACAGTGTGAATAAGGAAAGAAACTAATCACAGATTAACTTAATAAACAACTTAAAGGCATAAAGTATAACCCTACACAATAAAAATATGAAGACAATAAAATGGGAAAAAATTAAAATCTGTCATCCATACCGGAAAACAATAACAATTAAACTGAATAAACCAATGTGTAGAACTATCAATAAATGGCAAAGAAATGCTTACATTTTTAGATTGTAACATGAACATCTATACAAACTATATTATAATAGTCTCTGATTAACATGATTATAATACTATAATCATATAATATTATATATTATATTCACTTTGCTAAAGTTTAATTTCAGCACTTAATGGTCACGATCACAGTCCTCCCGTTGTTCATTGATTTGCTCAAGCGGGCCCAGTAACATTTCCATCGTGAGACTTGTTACTGTATCTGGCATATCGAATACCTCATGGGGAGCTTGCCAAGCTTTGCCGGGCGGGCAGGATACTCTTGGTAGCTTGCCGGGCTCTCTGAGAGGGGCAGAGGAATTGAACTTGGGTTGGCTGCGTGGGCTGCGTGCAAGGCAAATGCCCTACCCGCTGTGCTATCGCTCCAGCCCGGATGGCACATATGGGGGCTGGAGGGATAGCACAGCGGTACCGCATTTGCCCTGCGCACAGCTGGGTTTGATTCCTCCGCCCCTCTCGGAGAGCCCCGGCAAGCTACCAAGAGTATCCCATCTTTTCAACATATCTTTTCACATAACAAGCAGAGATTATAAGTAGGAAAGCAGGGGCTGGGGTGCTGTACAGCAGTTAGGTGTATGCCTAGCATACGTCCAACCCAGCCTCGATTCTCTGTGCCATGTGATCCTCACCTGTTACCACAGAACCCAAACAACCCTTCCTTTGAGGACCCTTGTGTAGAGCAATGGCCCAACTGCTGAGATGCACCATGGGGCGCCCAGGCTTCCTAGGCATTCTTGGGAGGTGCCTGTTGAAACACACACACACACACACACACACACACACACACACAGTCAATATTTATGAGTAAATAAAACTAAATTGGGGGATCAAGAGTTCTGTATTTCAAAGACGAGTACAGGCTGCCTATATGTTATTATCAGCAATGTGAATGATATTATTTCAACAAATTTTAAATATATTAAATGAATACTTAACAAAGTATTAATTTTTTTCTCTACAAGATTATGTCAACACTGACATCTACATTTTCCTACGTTTGTTGAGAAGATGACAGAATTTCTGGATTTTAGTACTGACCTGCCAAATAACTAGCTTTGGTATCAGGAAGAAAGCACTTAATATAAAATGAAAAGTCAGAACAGATGTTTTGTACAGCTACCTTTGTATATTTATAGGAACTTTATACTTTAATTAGAAAGTACTTACATGGTCTGAAACACCTAAGATTTTAGATGTCAGAAATTTCAAAATGATTGTTCCACCCAACCAAGCAAAACCTTGAATTAGCTAAAAAAAAGACAGAAATAATTTATCAAAAATAATAAAATACCCAGTTAAAATATTTGACTATACTAATAAATGGCATATGGTATTTTTCATCATGTGAAGTATATTACTAGTAATGTTTAAAAATAAAAGGTAAACTTTGTTTCCAGGTAGAAATTTATTAAAGGCACAGAAAAATACACACTATTGGTATTGATCATTATTTATAGTTATTTTATATTGGTCAATTTTTCTTTACATTATAAAGTATGATTAGATAACTATGCAAAATTTGACTTGCTAAAAGTATTTTTGGTTTTTTTTATAAGACTAATACTTCATACACTTTACTTTTATTTATTTTTTAAAAATTTTTATTAGTGAAACACCATGAGGTAAGGTTGTAGACTTAAAAATTTTTGTGCTTGGATTTCAGTTATACAATGATTGAGTACCCATCCCTCCACCAGTGCCCATTCTCCACCTCCAATGCTCCCAGCATCCCTCCCACCGCGCCTCTGTGGCAGGGCATTCCCTTTTGTTCTCTCTCTCCTTTTGGGTGCTGTGGTTTGCAAAAGAGGCATTGTGTGGCAATCATGTTCGGTCTATAGTATACGTTCAGGATACATCTCCCATCCTATTGTAAACAGTGCTACAATGAACAAACAAGTGCAGATGTCACTTCAACTATACTTTTTTGCCTCTCTGGTATTAATTTATAAACTTTTAAAGTTTAAAGGCAAGGGATTAAAATTGCTGACTTTGCTATAAAATATACCACATATTATTATACATACCCAAATTCAAAAGGAAAGTTTTTAAAGTTCTACTTATTGGGGCTAGAGAGATAATACAGTGGGTAGGCACTTGGCTTGCACATGACAGACTGGGTTCGATCTCCAGCACATGGTCCCCTGCACCTACCATGAATGATCTGTGGGTTCAGGGCCAGGATTAAACCCTGAGCACAGCAGGCTGTGACCACAAATCCAAAACAAAACAAGTAAAATTTGTTTACAACTGAAGGCAACAAACTACAAGAATGACAATGAGATTAAAGAAAGAAGTGAATGATTTAGAGAAAGCAGTACAAAATATAAGACAAGAAATATAATGTAAGACCCTAAAAAAAAGCAAAAAGCAATAAATGAAAACTGTATTTAAAACACATTTCACGGAAAGTTTCTTCCATTCAGACAACCTAAGTCTACACTTGGGAAGGACTCATGTAAGCCCTGGTAAAGCTGATCTGATATAGAACATTAATCTCGGCCATATTCTATTAGAAATGTGGAAAATAAAAAATACCCCCAGATCTGCAAGCACAAGGCATACAACTTATAAAGGCAAGAGGATGTGATTAACATTAGAATTACTTTCAAGTAACATATAAAACAGCAGAAGCATTTTCAACAATTTTAAGAAAATGTAAACCAGACTTTATGCCCAAGTAATCTACCACTCAGGTATAATGATATTAGAAATGACAGCTTCAAGCATACAACATTTAATGAGATAATAGTGTTGTTTAATATAAAAATAAGTCACAAATGAAGGTTCATATGAAATATGGGGAGATATAAAGTAAATCTGAATATACATAAAATTTCTAACAAATGTCTTCAAATTGTCTCACTAAGCAAAACCTGACCTACATGGTAAGAGAAGGCATCTAAAGATAGATCCAGAAAGATCGAGGATGCAAGCAGCCAGTGTGTACCAAGAAAAGCAAGAAACCATGGGTCATATTCCTAACATCAGTTTCAAAACAATAAGCCATTAGATATTCTGAACATTAAAATAAAGCAAAATAAGGGAATGGAGCAATAGTACAGTGGGTAGGGTGTTTGCCTTGCACGCAGCTCACCCAGGTTCGATTCCCAGCCTCCCATATGGTCCCCCAAGCACGGCCAGGAGTAATTTCTGAGTGCATGACTGAGGAGGGGCCCTGTGAATCTCCAGGTGTGACCCAAAAATCAAAACAATAATAGAATAAAATATGAAACAAAAATATTTAAACATTCCTATTTAAATGTAAATGTACTTATGAACTGCAACTATAATACAAGAAAAAACCAAATTACTCATAAAAATGTTAAATAAACTTTCAATACAAGATGTACGGGGGCATATAACACATAAAATGCAAAAATATTAAAATGGAAATCTTGTGAATGTTAATTATGATATGGATATTAGGATTTTGATATTAAAGGATTCACCCATATCTGATGCACATATTGATGATTTTTAAAAATTTAATTTAATTTATCTATAGTTTAAAATTTTATTGAATCACTGTGAGACAGTTAAAAGCTTTCATGTTTGGGTTACATCACACAATGATCAAACACCCATCTGTCCACCAGTGCACATACCCCACCACCAATCTCCCCAGTATATCCCCCCTTCCCCACCCTCCCCCTACCTCTATGGTAGACAATATTCCCCATACTTTTTCTCTACTTTTGGGCATTATGGTTTGCAATACGGATACTGAAAGTTCATCATGTTTGGTTCATTATCAGCACACATTATCAGTCCACTTTCAGCACACATCTCTCATCCCGACCGATTCCTACAGCAATCATTTTCTTAGTGATCCCTTCTCTAATTCATCTGCCTACTCCCCTCCACTCATGAGGCAGGGTTCCGGCTATGGAGCAATCTCCTGACCCTTGTATCTACTGTCCTTTGGTGTCAGCCTCATGTTATGTTATTCTATACTCCACAAATGAGTGCAGACCTTCTATGTCTGTCCCTCTCTTTCTGACTCATTTCACTTAGCATGATACTCTCCATGTCTATCCATTTACAAGCAAAGTTCATGACTTCATCTCTCCAAACAGCTGCATAGTATTCCATTGTGTAGATGTACCAAAGTTTCTTTAATCAGTCATCGGCACTTGGGTTGTTTCCAGATATTGGCTATTGCAATGAACATATAGGTACAGATGGCATTTCTACTGTGCTTTTTTGCATCCTCAAGATATATTCCCAGAAGTGTTATTGCGGGGTCATATGGAATCTCAATTTCTAATTTTTGAAGGACTGTCCATATTGTTTTCCAGAAAGGTTGGACTAGTGGGCACTCCCACCAACAGTGAAAGAGCGTCCCTTTTTCCCCACATCCATGCCGGCACTGGTTGCTTTTGTTCTTTTGAATGTGTGCCAGTCTCTGTGGTGTGAGATGATATCTCATTGTTGTTTTGATTTGCATCTCCCTGATGGCTAGCAATGTGGAGCATTTTTTCATGTGCCTTTTGGCCATTTGTATTTCTTTTTTGAGGAAACTTCTGTTCATTTGTTCTCCCCATTTTTTGATGGGGTTGTAGGTTTTTTCTTGTACAATTCTACTAGTGTCTTGTATATCCTGGATATTAATCCCTTATCAGATGGGTATTGGGTAAATATTCTTCCCATTCTGTGGGCTCTTTCTGTATTTTGGCCACTGTTTCTTTTTTGAAGTTCAGAAGCTTCTTAGTTTGATGTAGCCCATTTGTTTATGTTTGCTTCTACTTGCATGGTCAGTGCTGTTTCATCCTTAAAGATGTTTTAGCTTCAATATCATGGAGAGTTCTGTCGACATTTTCTTCTATGTACCTTATGGATTCATGTCTGATATTGAGATCTTTCATCCACTTTGGTCTGACTTTTGTGCCTGGCATTAGACAGAGGTCAGAGTTCATTTTTCTGCAGGTAGCTATCCAGTTTTCCCAGCACCACTTGCTGAAGCACCACTTTCCTTGTTCCATTTCACATTTCTTGCTCCTATGTCAAAGATCAAAAGTGGTCGATATTCCTGATGAACACAGATGCAAAGATCCTTAACAAAGTATTAGCAAATAGAATTCAACAACTCATCAAAAAGATCATACAGTATGACCAAGTAGGATTAATCCCAGGGATGCAAGGATGGTTTAACATTCGCAAGTCAATGAACATAATTCATCTTATCAATAAAAGAAATAATAAAAACTGTAAGATCATATCAATAGATGCAGAGAAAGCTTTTGACAAGATTCAGCACCCGTTTATGATGAAAACTCTCAGCAAAATTGGCATCAGAGGAACTTTCCTAAATATAGTCAAAACCATCTCACACAAGCCCACAGCAAGTATCATTCTCAATGGGGAAAAACTAAAAGCCTTCCCTCTAAGATCGGGCACAAGAGAAGGTTGCCCGCACCACTCCTATTCAATATAGTACTGGAAGTCCTGGCCACAGCAGTTAGGCAAGAAAAAGATATCAAGGGCATACAGATAGGAAAGGAAGAGGTCAAGCTATCACTATTTGCAGATGACATGATACTATACTTAGAAAACCCTTAAGACTACAGAAAAGCTCCTAGAAACAATAGGTTGGTATAGTAAAGTGGCAGGCTACAAAATCAACACCCAAAAGTCCATGGCTTTCTTATATACACTTTTTTTTATTTTAATGAATCACCGTGAGATACAGTTAGAGACTTACAAACTTTCATGATTGTGTTTCAGTCAATGTTCAACTACCCATCACTCCACCAGTACCAATTCTCCACCACCAATGTTCCCAGTATCCCTCCCCTCACCACTACTCTTTCCACCCTGTAAAATATATGCACACACGTGGAGTGGATGTGTTGATGTGTGTGCGTTTGTGGGCTCTCTGGGCAGCTCTCTCTCTCTCTCTCTCTCTCTCTCTCTCTCTCTCTCTCTCTCTCTCTCTCTCTCCGCCCACGTTCAGTGCTCTCCAGTCACTGTGAATGGACTGGATCGGGAATGGCTGTTGGCAATGGGCTGGCAAAGGAAGGAACGAGAACCAGGCCGGTCAGTATCAACTGCAGTTTATTCCAATCTTCTCTCCATTCTCCTCTGATTCCCCTTCTGCTTTTCTCTATGGAGCCCCTTCGCTATTCTCTCTGGAGTCCCTTCACTTCTCTCTCTGGAGCCCCCTCTGATCTTACAGTCTTAGTTTATATAGCAATCACATAGGGTGGTGATAGAAAGGTGGGTTGAACATTAGCAAATCAACAAAGAGGGATAAGGCCACTCCTCCAGGAGATTAACTCAAGGACAAAAATCTCATCTAAGGAAATTACTCCAGATTACTAGCAGATCTGCTTAAGGGCAGGATCCCATCCACGGTGTGTCACTTTATTCTTTTCTCAGCTAGTAATCCACTTAAATTGTAGAAAATCTACTTCTAATATTTCTAGCAATGCCATTCTGTATGAGTACAGTAAGAAATATATCAACTTAAAGTTTGCTTCTTCCTGGGGACATTTCACTATAATTCCAGACCACAGGCCAAGTTAGTCTTCCTAACCTCTGCAGTGTCATAATCTCGTCATTACTTCTGGATCATGACAGCATTTGTCAATAACCATGCTCTCAACTTATAGTTGAGTATTGTGGCACTTTGGCCTGGCCCATTTCAATGCCAGGGTAGTTTACAGCTTGCCCAGGGTCCATTCAGTCCCTCATCAGGACCCTGCTTTTGGGGTACTAGGAACTAAGGGTAACTGAGTCGAGAAAGAAGATGCCCAGGAGTCAATATTATTCAGAGTCAATCAACTCCCAAGTTACAAAAGCATAATATTAACTGTCTTCCTGTGTCCATACAGAAAGGACATTGCTTTAAGGTAAACTAAGTTCCCTGCAGCAAGGCTGAAAGGATAAATCCAATGTTATCCTGCACCACGCCCTGCTTCTGTGGTAGGAGCATTCCCCCTTAGTCTCTCTGTCGTTTTGGGTGTTATGGTTTGCAATACAGGTACCAAGCGGCCATCCTGTTTGGTCCATAGTCTACTTTCAGCATGCATTTACTTTCCCAAGTGATCCCTCCAACTATCATTTACTTAATGCTCCCTTCTCCATCCAAGGTACCTTTCCCCCAGCAAATGAGATCAGTTTACGAACACCCAAGAATAGTTGAGATGAGTACCAGGAGGTCTGCTCCACAGCTTGAAAGCTAGCTGGGGGAAAAGGCAGCTCAGATAGAGAAGGAAACACCAAGTAAAGGAATGTCTGGAGGATTTGCTCGCTATGCAAGATGTGTGCTGAAAGTAGACTATAGACCGAACATAATGGCCACTCAATACCTCTATTACAAACCACAACACCCTAAAGGCAAGAGAGAGCAAAAGGGAATGCCCTGCCACAAAGGCAGGGTGGGGTGGGGGGGTGGATTGGGTGGGGGTGTGGGAGGGCTACTGGGATCACTGGTGGTGGAGAATGGACACTGGTGGAGGGATGGGTACTCGATCATTGTATAACTGAAACCCAAGCACGAAAGTTTGTAAGTCTACAACCTCATGGTGTTTCACTAATAATAAAAAAAAATCAGGACAGCACTAAACAGTATAAATTAAGGAAGACATGTAAGTAATGAGCAGAAGGAAATCTATGATGTATATTAACACAATATAAATTTTAAATGAAGTAAACCCTTGAAGTAAACCCTCAAAAATCTAAAGAAAAAGAAAACATTAAACAGAAAATACTTGCTCTTTAATCATCCAGGTGTGTCAAGAGCTCCAGCCCACATCCTGCTCTGCAGTTCTAGAGCCATCTGCACCCCCTTTCTGGGTCCTCTGCTCCCATAAAGCCCCTATCCCTCCATCTTCAAGGGATCTTTGCTTTTTTATTGTTACTCAGAAATGCCTATTTTAACACTCTGTACAAACAAATGGGCTGGAGCAATAGCACAGCGGTAGGGCATTTGCCTTGCATGCAGCCAGCCCGGCCGAGTCGGGTTCGATTCCTCCATCCCTCTCAGAGAGCCTGGCAGGCTATCGAGAGTATCTTGTCCGCACAGCAAAGCCTGGCAAGCTACCCATGACGTATTCAATATGCCAAACACAGTAACAAGTCTCACTGATGGAGACGTTACTGGGCTTGCTCGAGCAAATCGATGAATAATGGGAGGACCGTGACTGTGACAGTACAAACAAATATATTAGAGACTGAACTGCACAACTAATGAAGTAACATCCTAAATGTATAAAGATTACTGCTTGTTGAAAAATAAAAATAATAGATCAGACCTCAAATATCTGGTATCTTAAACTCAAATAGTAGCACCTACAAATCTTTAGGAACAATAGTAAAACAAAAGATTTCACTTGCTCTGTCAGACAGGGACAGGCAAATCACAGAGCTCAAATAAACACTCAAGCTTCACTCAAATCAAGATTGCATATAATGGCAATCATTATATGCAATGACTGAAAAAAAAATCCAATCAACTTTAAGAGGAACTGATCCAGAGTATCAATGAGTTCATACAAATGGAACTAAAGGAATTAAAAAGCACAGTAGCAAGCCACAGCAACAGAATTCAGTGTGCAGAGAACTTGATCGGTGATACTGAAGACAAAATGCTAGCTAGCCATCACAACAGTGAAAAAAGAAAAGTAAACAAATGAAAGAGAATGTAAGGTTCTTGATAGATAATAGCAAAAGAAATAATCTTTGAATCAGAGGACTACCAAAAGGACAAAAAAAAAGGGTAAAGGGGAAGAAGAGTTGGTCAAAGAAATAACAACTGAGAAGTTTCCTGATATCTTAAGAGAAGCTCCTGCACAGATTCAAGAGGCCCAAAGAGTTCCAACAAAATAGCCTCAAACAAAAAATCCCAAGATACAGTAATTAAAATGGTAAAATCAAAACACAAAGACTAAAGCAGCAAAAGAGAAGAAAACCTTTAGATATATTAAGAAAGAGTGGAGTGATATTTTCAAAGCACTGACCCAAAAAACTTCTAGTGTAGAGTCCACTACCCTGCTAAGCTATCATTTAGATTGCATGAGAGATAAGAAGCAGTTCAGGCAAACTAGAGTTGGCAGAATTTGAAACAATCCTGCAAGAATTACTGAAAACAAATGATTCACACACACACACACACACACACACACACACACACGTAACACAGCCCCTTATGTCAATAATTTCTCTGAATGTCAATGAACTAAACTCTCATATAAAAAAGCATAGAATACCTGGATGAATCAGGAAAAAAACTGTTCCTTTTGCTGCCTATAAAGAAACAGATCTCAACTCTCAGGACAAATACAGACTTGGAGTGAAAGGATGGAAAACAATCATAGAAGCCAATGGAAGACCAAAAAAAAAAAAAAGCTGGGACAGTCATACTTACATCATACCAAATTTTATCCAATATAAAGAAAGTAATTAGGGACAATGATGGACACTACTTATTGGTGTAACAACAAATCAAGAAATACTATATCGACATCTACGTACTCAACGAAAGTTCAGCAAAGTTTATGGTTTCTGCTCACAAACCTAAAGAAACACCGACAGAAACACAACAGCAGTGGGAGACTTCAACACACCAATTTCCCCACTAGACAAATCAACCAGACAGAACTCAATAAAGAGACAAGAACCCTAAATGAGGAGCTGAAAGAAATGGAATTATTGGACATATACAGGCTTTACACTCCCCTAAACAAGAATATATATTCTTCTCCAATGTACACGGAACATTTTCTAGGACAGATCACATATTAAGGCAAAACACAAAAATACATAATTTTAGAAATATAGAAATTGTATAACTACCTTCTCAGACCACAATGACATAAAAGTAGAAATTAATCACTGAAAAAAGATGGGGGAGATTTCGAACACTTGGAAGCTAAATAAAACACCATTCAACAATAATTATCTGTATTCATTTTGCAGAAATAAAAATTGAGTTTGAAGAAACTGATTTAATAATGTTGAATCTTACCCAAAAGTTGAGTTCAGACACTACCAATTTTTGTATTTTATTTCTCTTTAGAATTATCACCTACAATGGACATAAAATAAAGTGAAAATTAGCATTTCTATCTTACAGTAATGATACAAATCACCATTTACAGTCTCTCTTTCACCTTGCTTATCACCAGTACTTTTCCTTCTTAATTGCTAAATTTTCAAAATTTTCTTGGGGTGATAGCTAAATGCCTTGTGGTGTAAGAAGTTGTCCCTGGAATAAAGGTTATTCTTCACTGAGTTACCTGGGAAATTTTAAGCAGAGAAATTTTAAGCAGAGAAATTCTTCTGGGAAGTTCTTGCCATGTAAGAGGAAGGCCCATGCAAGCTCGTAGGGACAGGTTCTTGCAGAGAAATTGGTGGTCTCAATTCACATGAAAAAATGTCTTATCTAAACTCTACATGAAATATTTTCAAACGTTTAACTGAAGGTATATGAAATAAGGCAAACTTTCCAGGGTGACAAAAAGAGAAGCTATTTAAAAAATTAGAATGTTGTTTAGGAGAGAACCTAGAGCAAAGGAAGGAGATCAGAGAGGGCTGGAGCTGTGAAAAGAAATTGGCACTGAGACTCATGCATAAATCTGGAGTCCTAAAAAAACATACCCTCAATGCTATTTGTTAGATATTTATGTCTCCCCACCAAATTCACATGTTGTAGTAATTAAACCCTAAGTAAAATTATCAGATGGTACTTTAGTTTCTGGGTCAAGTTGTAAATTACGACTACATATACTTTCTTATCCAAAAAATCTAAGCCCAAACATAATAGATTGCTATGAATAATGATATACTAATAACCTTGACGATACAAAACTGGATTCATTCCTAGAAGCAGAAATTTTTTTAACATTGAGTCATAAAGAAATAAAAATCTGAGTAAATCTATAACAAGTAGGAAGACTAAATCAGTAATCAAACTCTCCAAACAAAAAAAAAGATCGGATCTGATGGTTTCACTGGAATCCACTGATTAAAGTTTAAAATCTTTCAAAAATTGTAAAGGCGGGAACATGTCAAAACATATCACTTGGCTTATGAGGCCAGCATGACTTAATACAAAGTTAGAAAACATCATTACAGGGGCTGGATCAATAGGACAGCAGGTAGGGCACTTTTCTTGCATATGTCAGACCTGGGTTCAATCCCCAGCACCTCATGTGGTCCCCGAGCCTGTCAAGAGCTATTCCTGAGTGCAGCAAAAAGAGTAAGCCTGGAATACCACCAGGTGTGGTTCAAAATGAAACAAAAATAGAATATTATAAGAAAACTAAGCTAAGTATTAAAATCCATGATGACCTTCAATGTAAAAATTGTCAGTAAAGGACTAGCAAACCAAATTCAGCAGCATGAATGAGTGGAATTGATTTATCTTTGAAATTCTAGGACAATTCAACACAGGCAAGTAAGTTAATGCATCATATGTGGAAAAGTGCTATACTTGTTATTACTGGGAGGACATCATCTCTGATCACTGGTACAAAAACATCCTGGGAACATTCCAGTACATGTGAACATTCTAGATTCTGGCTTCTGAATACTACATGTGTTACTCTAAAGTAGTAAAACTAATTGACTGGATCACTACTCCAAATCTGTATTCAAATCAGTCTTATTCATAAACATACATCACATGAAACTATATTACTTTTCACATTTTGTTTTCATTGTTTAAATAACTTAAAATTCTATCTATAATGCCTGCAGAGATAATTTATATATCCAATAAACTACCTTATTTATTGTTATATCATATTTTGACAAGATCTATATTATCCAGAACAATCACCCACCTTATTCTTATGACTGTTCATTTCCAAAAATCAAAATCACCCTTGAAAGACGAAGATGTGCAACAATCGAGGATATTCAAAGCATGTGCACACCTATGAAGATAATTCATAGGAATTCCAAAATGTTTTGGGAAGTGGCAGTGTCAAGCAAAAAAATATATGGTCTAATGAAGTGACTCAGAACAAAATAACCTTTTTTTTTTTTTTTTTTTGCTTTTTGGGTCACACCTGGCAATGCACAGGGGTAACTCCTGGCTCTGCTCTCAGGAGTTACTCCTGGCAGTGCGGCAGTGCTCAGGGGACCATATGGGATGCTGGGAATTGAACCGGGGTTGGCTGCGTGCAAGGCAAACGCCCTACCTGCTGTGCTCTCTCTCCAGCCCCCCAAATAACATTTTTATCAGAAATTATGGCCTATTTCGTCTTACTATCTTGTCTCTATTTATACTAATTTGATAAGGTAAAGTTTCTTACTATCTTACAGAAGATAATAAAGGTAAAAAAAAGGTAAAGGCCCTCCCGTTGATCGTCGATTTGCTCGAGCAGGCCCAGTAATGTCTCCATTGGAGACTTTGTTGTTACTGTGTCTGGCATATCGAATACTCCCGGTAGCTTTCCGGGCTCTCCGAGAGGGGCGGAGGAATCGAACTCGGGTCGGCCATGTTGGCTGCTTGTAAGGCGAACGCCCTACCCGCTGTGCTATCGCTCCAGCCCTAGTAACTCTTCTTAAAAGTCTTTTATCTTTTAACTATTTATACTTATTTGATAAGGTAAACTTTCTATTGTATTTTTCTAGGACAAGGAAGAGTTAGAGCATTATTCTGGAATCTTTTCATGTCAACTATTAGGAAAGGGTCCTACTTATTCTCCTACACCTACTTTAGATGAGTAAACCCGTTATTTAACAAGTTAATAATCTTCTAGAGTTTAACAAACACTTACGCATGCCATTAACAAAGATGAAGAATAATAAGAAGATAAATACATTGTATTTCCAAACATCAATATAAAACAGAGGAAAACAGAAATCTGAAAATTGAGAAAAAAAACACGTTATTCAGTTTTGGAATATATAAGCTAATATATACTTTTCTATAGGCAAATGATACTATATTCCACTTCCATTACAAACTATGTATGGAAATAAAATTTTAAATACATCTTAGCTAAATGATAATAGAATTTCAACACACCAATAGGTTCTTCAGTACCAGAAAATGAGATGGAGCAGAATTTAATACTATTCTTTCTACATGCTTCTTGATAGAATGAAAACTGGAAATAATTATTTTTCTGTTGAAAACTGGAATAATTATTTTTCTATTGACTCAATAATGCTGTAATATAATAAGATTAGTCAAAGATGTTATTTCTAATCTTATTTTGTTAACTATCTAAATATTCCCATCACTAATAAAGCTCACTTCCTTTTCTCATCAAAAAGTTATTTATTTTTTATACTTTACAGAACATTTGTCCAGAACCTAAAAATAGAAGTGCAAAAATATATGATTTAAAGTTTCACACTCATAAAAGGTATTTAAAATATCAGACCACAGGGAACAGTATTTCAGGAGTAGTGTCAATAAAAATAATATACTTGAAAATATTATAGTGTAAAAGTTACTGTAGTTAAGAATAACCTGCTATAACACGACATCTATAATTTACACTATTTTATTTACTGATATAATCATCATCAAATGTAGTAAATGATATGAAATATTCAATAAAACATTAATCAGTTCTGTTTTGTAAAATCTGAGGTCTTATTTAACACTTGACTTATTAATATTAAAAATATTACCATGTTCATATAAATGATCTTCTGAAATTTGCTTGGCTCAATGTACCCCACAATATACATGGAAAATAATGAGACTATCTGAAATTTAAAAAAATTGAAAGTAAAATGAAATGTTTGAAAGTATCATTATTCATAAGCAGAACAAGTATAAGAAGAGTACTATATTATATTTTTAATAATGGTACTGTAAGTAATTTAAACTTGTCTCCTCACTGAGAAATAGAATAGCTAGGAAAAAATGATTTAAAGGCCATTACGAAAGCTGTACATTGGTAACACGTCAAAAATACTTAGGATTCTAAGACCTGAGAGAATATGAGAATGTACAGTGATGAGCATGACCTGTTGCATCCTTCCTCCCAGAGATACTCGTCTGCAGATCAGTGCCATGTGCTGAGAGGCAATGTGAGACATTTTTAGGCTCAGCAACAGACTATGAGAGCATCCTGGTAAATTCCAGGGTTTGGTTTGGTTTCAAAAGGCTAAATCCTAAAAGGGCTAGAAAAAAAGGAGTCCTCAAAATGACTGAGGTCAATCTTGAACAATTTTAATAACAGGCTATATGAGGGTAATTCAGTACATTAGCCTTTAACTACCTATTGTAAGCAAATTCAATTTTCACAGGTACACTCACGATCCTGACCATCCTGTTATTCGTCGATTGCCTCGAGCAGGCCCCAGTAATGTCTCCTTTGTTCTAGCCCTGAGATTTTTTTTAAAAAAGTGCCATGGTCAGAGACTATAAAACTATAGTCTCTAAAACTATAAAACCCAGCTCCCGGAAGAAAACAGCGCAGAGTCTCCTGCCCCCACACCTGACTGTCCTTGCCGGGGCCCTTGGAGGGGAGCGAGTTGAGTTTCCCTCCCCGCCCCGCCCAGGGCTCCAATAGCCGAAGATCTCCAGAACCAGCCACCACCATGCTGAGACCACTCTCCGCACACATGAAGGTACCGGCAGAGGAACAAAGGCATGTGGGTCCCGGGACTGAGATCTCCAAGCCTACTCGGATCGGGGCTGAGCATCCTCCACCCAGATTCTCCAAATTCCAGTAGGCGGGGGTCACACCCACCAACTGGCCCCCTGGCACCGTGTAATCCCATCAACGGCCAAGACTCAGAGACTATAAAACCTAGCTCCCAGAAGAGAACAGCAGAGTCTCATGCCCCCGCGCCTGGCTGTCCTTGCCAGGGCCCTTGGAGGGGAGCGGGTTGAGTTTCCCTCCCCGCCCTGATCAGGGCTCCAGCAGTCGAAGACCTCCAGAACTGCAGGTACACTACAGGTGGAGAAATATAGTACATGGATTCAGGTGCTGTTTTGCATGCAGCAAGCTCAGCATGTTATACCCACAACACCACATATGGTCTCATGAGCTCATCAGTAGGGATCTCTGAATATAGAACTCTGAGCAATGCAGGCTTTGGCCTCAAAACCAAAAAAATAAACAAACAAAGCCAATGCTGAACATCACAAAAAAAAGATTAACCAGCTACAAAGGTAATAGAACATAATGAGAACAGAAATAGATCTTTAAAGAATCTAGTTCAGTAGTCAACAAATATTTTATGAAAAAAAGGCAATAAATACATGAGTTTTTACAGTCTTTATTGGCTTTATACAGTCTTTCATTGTGCATCTGTCTTTTATTTTTTAACAAACCCATAAAATGTAAAAACCATACTTATCTCATAAATCACTCATAAAAGATTCTGGCTAAGTAAAATAAGCCAGAAAGAGAAAGAAAAGTACTTCATGATATCACACGTATGTACAAGGAAACAAGCAAGGGAACAGACAATGTTCTAATGAAAACAGACCCTTCGACACTGACCACAGAACTGAGGTGACCAAGGGGAGGAGTGAGGTGGTTGGAAGGTTCAAATGGAGTATAGTGACGGGAGACAGACACTTTGGTGGTGGGTGTTAAGTGCTAACTTGTACTCTTAAACATGTAAACATTCACACTCTTGTACGCCAATGTTACCACAATAATGAATTTTAAAAATCTTCCAAATTTTAAAACAGAAACAAGAAACCATATGCTTTCTCTACAGCACCCGATTATGTGAGTTGGCACTGCTCATGACAGAGTTTGGAGGGAGAAGACTAAGAAAGAGAAAATAAGACTATCAAAGAGCATCAAAGGGATATGGCTCCTGTGTTGACTCCAGAAGGAAATTTGCTCATAATCCTGGTAAAGTCTAGGACTCTCCACCATCACCACTACCATGATGTCACATCCCAGTGTGAGGGTGACTGCCACCCATGGTGGTCAGCATCTGTGGGGAAGGGAAAAAGCCCACTCTAGAGCTACAGTGACACCTCCTTGGAAGCAAACAAACCCAAACAGGGTTTCCGACAGCCAGAGTGGCCAACTCCCCCTCCTTTCCTGTTTTAGGGGAAGAAGTTATGTCATATTCAGAGGTGATCAGCAATGCCCAGTCAGATGCACTTGTGTGGGGGCAGTGATTGCTGGGCAAGTTTCCTTCTAACTCCAAACCCAGTGATGAACTGTAAGATGTGGAGAATACATAATTTTGTCACAAAGATGAAGCAAGAAGCTCAAGAATATACACAAGGTAAGAGAAAACTCCTAGAAACAAGCAGGACTAATTAAGAACATTTCCCATCTAAGTTAAAGACTGGAGGGGACAATTAGTTCGAAGGCAAAAACAGCAATACAAAACTCAAAAAGCATGGAATATTAGGGAAATGTGGCATTACTGATACAGTTCCAACAATGCCCCAGCAACCAAACTCAAAGATATTGAATTCTATTCATTTAATTTACGCAATGAAGTTTACAAAATAGTCACTTAGGAAATTCAACAAGTTACAAGAAAATATGAATTTAATAGAACCAGTAAAATAAAGAAAATGAGAAATTCAACAGACATTATATAGAATCAAATTGTGAAGCTAAAGAGTTTCATGAATAAAATAAAAATGCAGTATATTTTAACATAGTTATACACCAAGCAGTAGAGAGAACACTGACTTAGCTGTTACAAACTTTGAAAAAGTCCCAGTAGAGGAGAAAGAAAATAAAAAGTAATGAATAAACAGAATGTGATACCAGTAACTGATCAAATATCAGAGTCATCAGAAACCCAAAGTAGAGGAAAGGTACAGGAAATTTATTTAAAGAAGTATTATCTGAAATTCTCAAACCCTAGGGAGAGATTGGGACTTTCACAAAGCTCGTAAGTAACCCCATTATCTAAAGTGAGCATGATCTTCTCCAAGACAGTATAATAAAACCATTAAGATCAAAGACAAAGAGAATCCTAAAAGCATCAAGAGGAGATGATTGTAATTTACAAGCAACTCCTCATTGGGTCCACTACAGTAACCAGAAGAGCACATTGCTGGCAGAAAGATACATCAATAGAACAGAATTGAATGCCCAGAAATAAAACACACAAATACAGTCAACTAACATTTGACAAGGAAGCCAAGAATGCAATATTCTATGGGGAAAGATAGTCTCTTCAAATAGCATCATATAGAGCGGGTGCTCACATGAAATGGAACCTCTTACACCATTTCTCCTAATGAACCTCTAATAGGAAATAACTCCAAACCAAAAAAAAACCATGAAAATAAAGCACAGATAATAAGCTCCTTGACATAGGTCTCAGCTGTGGTTGTTTTGATGACATCAAAAGCACTGTCAGCACTGTCCTCCCGTTGATCATTGATTTGCTCGAGCAGGCACCAGTAACATTTCCATTGTGAGATTTGTTGTTACTGTTTTTGGCATATTGAATACATCACGGGTAGCTTGCCAGGCTTTGCCGTGTCGGCAGAATACTCTCGGCAGCTTGCTGGGCTTTCCGAGGGGGGCAGAGGAATCAAACCCGGGTCAGCTGCATGAAAGGCAAATGCCCTACCCGCTATGCTATCACTCTAACATCAAAAGTACAAGCAAGAAAAACAAAAACAAGTATAACTATTAAACTAGGATATTTCTGCATAATAAAAGAAGTAATAAACAGGGGAACCTGTAGAATGGGAGAATTTCAGAACATACTACAGATAATAGCTAAAATATAAAAAAATAAATGTCTAAAAATCAACAAATTTCATTTTAAATGGGTAAAGGAATTAAACATTTTCCAAATAAAGCTTCCAAATGTTCAACAGGTGCTTATGAAAAAAGTGCTCAACACCACTGACCACAAGGGGTATAAAAATGAAAAACTGCTGTTGAATCACCATGAGTTACAGAGTAACAAAGTTACTCTTACTAAGTTTCAGGCATCCAATGTTCCAATACCAGTTCTTTAAAAGGTATGCATCTCCCCAGGCATGTCCCCAGTTTTCCCTCACGAAGGACTTTTCCCTCCGGAATTCCCTCCACCACTGTCCTAGAGTTCCCTTCCCCGATTTGTCCCCCAGCCCTCCCTAAACTCAGTGGCAAGCTTCCTACTGAAGAGCAATCTCCTGCTTATTTCTATTGCTTTTGAGCATTTGTTACTCCCCTACAAATTTTATTTATAGCTCACATATGACATTGATCATTTCACTCAGCATGATTGAACTCTCCATATCCATCCAACTAACACCAAACTGCATGACTTCATCTTTTCTTAGGGCCAAGTGGTACTCCATTGTGTAAATATACCATAATTTCTTTATCCAGTCAGTCATCTGTTCTTAGGCACCTGGGTTGTCCCCAGATACTGGCTATTGTGAAGAGTGCTGCAATGAACATAGGCATGCAGATGTCTTTTCGGTGTTGTGCTTTTGGGGTATTATTCCAAAGAGTGTCAATGTTGGCCCATTATGGAAGCTCAAACCCTAGTTTGCAAATCAAACTAAAATAAATCATGTCCCTACAGGTGTCAAAATGGCTTTCTTCATGATGAAAAGAAATAGCAACATAGATCTCCGAGGGACTGGAACACAGGCAGGCCGCACCACCAGCAGCCTACTTTCAAGGACTTGCTTAATCTCCTCCTATCCAGGTAAAGGCATGATGGGGGTGGCATCTGGAGCCGTGGCCTCGAGTTATTCTCCCCATCCATATCCCATAAGAACCATAAATTACCCTCTTAAGTGGAACTTTCATTAGGGC